TACTCGATTGTAGATTAATTATTGTACAACATTTACTGCTACTACTACTCCCACAACTCTACGCCTACGTTTACGCAATTGTAGACCGGGCTTAACGGTTTAATCCTACTACAAAATGTTAGTCGCGGAACATGGCAAAATCGTAGATGCGCTCGCCCTCGAAAATCGGAGGACGCAGGATCCACTTAGCCGTTACGGTCGTGCTAATGAGCCCTTGTGACGGACGTTGTCGAAAAACGTCACGTCACAATATATATATATATATATATATGTCCATAAATTGACATTTTCGAGGACATTTTTTATGGAGAAATATAGTTTTCGAGGACATTTGTATTCATCGAGGTCCGTCCTCGTTTGGGTATCTGTAGATCGATGTTTTTGAGGACGTCCTCATTAGTTATTATAACTATACATCGCCGCTGTCGAGGACACCAAAAAATGTCCTCAATAACAAACCAGTGTGCGCCTTCGAGGACTGTCCTCAAAATATCATGTGAAAATATTACAGGAATACTTAATTAAAGATATCCGAAACTTTTGTATTATAACGTAATAAATAATATTTATCTCATATTTAAAAAAATAAATGTTTACGCCAAGTGTTTATAAAATCGTACTTTACATCTTTCCTAAACAAAAATATTTTTTTAACAAATAAAATATAAATTAATACCAAATATCTTTTCTATAATATTATACTTTCTAAAAAAGTTTATCAAGGTTGTTCAAAAACAAATATGAAATCATAAAAGTGTCCAATTATTTAATTAAACATTTAGAGCACAAAAATATTTGATTCTAAACCACAAATATTTTTTAAATAAACCGTCCAAAAATATATGCAGTAATAGTTTAAATCAATGCATTCAAAAGTATATATGGCGAAAGTTTAATAGCATTGCTTTTCCAAATAATTTTAAGTTTTTTGATAAAACAAGTTCAAAATGACTAAAGTGACTAACGGGAACAGTAAAGCAAAAACTTGGCGTGCCCGAATCGAATTATATATGTATATATTATCAATTAATGCGACCTGAAATTTTTAATTTTTTAAATAAAATATAAAAAATATATATGTAATTTTATATTTTACTTGTTAAGAAATTATTTTTAAGAAAAGATGTAATTTACAACACTTTTTATACACTTGTAAATATTTTTTTTTTTTTAAATAAGTTTTTGTTTAAGTTAATAACTACTGCATAAACAGGTATACTGTATCTCAGATATTGTCGTTAACTTATTAAATATTGTTTTATATACAAATGGATAGCGCGAGAGATTTATTGTTAAAGATTAATTAAAAAATATGACTTCATTATCATAAAGACATGTCACATTTTTATCAAGAATTTTTTTTTACAAAATCTCTATTTAAATTCTTTTTTTAAACAATGCGTAATAAATATAGAATTAATATATAATTAATATATATAATTGCATAAATAATTTTTACATATAAATTTTATGTAAATTACATATTTAGAAGACACATTTAAGATACGTTAAAAAATCTTACAACAGAAAACTTGCAAGAAATTGACAAGTGAATACAATTGTTTCTAATTCTCAACAATAATTTTGTTATAAATTAAATGTCATATTATTATCAGATAAAAAATATGTAACAATAAAAGGATAACTTGTATCTTGAACATAAATCTCGTTTTGAGAAATGCATGTTTGATTACTGATATTTACACTTATAAAAAAATAATTTTTTATTAGAATATTATTTTATAAATTCTCCACTATAACTTCTTATTATTTTAAATGAAAACAAAAAATCTTGTAGGATGTAAAAAATATACTAATAAGGCGATACTCACAAAGAACTTGGAAATTTTTATCATGGAAGCAATGGAAAAACCAGAACACCATACTGAAAAAGATATCTCAGGCTTTCATCATCTGAATAAGATTCTTTCGATGCCTGAGCTATTGCCAGAACACTGCAATAATTTGAAAAATGCAATAAAAAATATTACTCAACATACACGATCATGTCTAGTGAATGTAACAAGACTTATCGCCAAAAATTTAATTAAACTTTATATTGTATATTATATCGTCACGTACCTGAATCTTATTCTTGCACTTTCCTCATTAAATTGCAGCAGTTCTCGTTTTTGTTGTCCATATAGCAGACATATACGTTCACTCCATTTACGAAAAAATTCCTGAGAGAAAGAATTTCTGCTTCCATTTTTTGTAATTAAGAAATTAAAAAAAGAACAAAGCAAATAGACACTTTTAGGTAATCAAAATATGAGCAGAGTATCGGTGAAATGTTCCAAAAACAAAGTATATGGACAAGTTACAAGAAGTAGAAAGCTATAATTTAAGGTTTAACACACATTGAAATTTAAATGTTTAATTCAACGTTTCACTTGAAAACATTTATACTTTAACTCTAAGAACAACAATATCAATATCTACATTCTAAATATTAATATACTGCTACATATTATTTACCTTGAGACTCTTTGGTTGTTGCTTAAGTTCTAACGTATACTTTATGTAGATCATGTTCGACCCTTTACATACAACCTTACTGATTACAAAGTTTTGTTGAATATATCGATGTGAAAAATATACATAAAATATACATAAAATGACATAATATACATATATCAATGTGTATTGTAGCATATATGTATGTACAGCTTTATATAATTATATCATAATTATGACATTATTTAAAGCAAAGTTTGTTTTACAGATACACAATCTTTCAACTCACGACGTTCTCTTTTCTCTGTTCCTTAACTTCCATGTTATTTTTTGATTGGTTTGACATTAAAATTTATAATTCATAATTTAATCTTTCCTATAAAATTAACTATAAATTAATTTGTAACTAATATCACATAATTTAATTATATAAAGCTGTACTACAATATACGTTGTTATATATTACGTCGTTTTGCACATCAAATCTTAAAATTATGACATTCTATTTTATGTAACTCGTCCACCCGTATACTTTTGAAGCATTTTCAACGATACTTTGCTCATAATGATTATCTAAAAGTGTTAATTTACTTTGTTTTTTCTTCCTTTAGTCTTCTTATAATTATTGCTTTTTGCTCATAGCAAGTTGATTGCAGAATTTGAATCTTCAACGCTTTATATTGCTGTGTTATAAGTTTTTCTATGTTTGCATCTCTTTTTGCTGAAATTGTAAAATTTGTCAATACAATATCTATCAAATATATAGATAAAACGCATTGAAATTTAAATGTTGATTTAATTCAAATGTTTTACTTTGAAAACATTTCATACTTATATTCTAAGAACAACAATATTAAATACATTTCAAA